GCACTCAGGGGTCGGGATGGGGACGCTGAGGGAGGGGGGGGGGCTGCTAGAGGTTCGATAGAGTTACATAGACGTTCTATAAATTGATATCGATATCTGGGAAAGATCTTTTGATGAGGCATCATCGTATAAAAAGGCTCATATCTGATCAAATCCGTTACGGCGTAGGACGGTAAGTGTTACGTTAACCGGCTAACGATCATTTGTGTCTCAGTCGTAATATTTGTGTAGAGCTCGGGATAAATGACTTGCTCCACCCCGAATCCCCCCATCTCCAAACAAGACCACTACCTCACGATCCCCCCCCCCCTCCCCAGGAGAACCTGCTGCTGGACGACGACAACCGCCTGAAGCTGATCGATTTCGGCCTCTGTGCCAACCCCGAGGGCGGCATGCAGGCCCACCTGGAGACCTGCTGCGGCTCGCCGGCCTACGCGGCGCCCGAGCTGGTCTCCGGCCTGCAGTACCTCGGAGCCGAGGCGGACATCTGGAGTATGGGCGTGCTGCTCTACGCCCTGCTCTGTGGCTTCCTGCCCTTTGACGACGAGAATATTGCCAACCTCTACAAGAAAATACAGGTAGGGCGTGAGATAGTGAAGGATGATGGTTAGAGTGGAGCGCTACTGGGTCGAGGATTGTGTGAGCCTGTTACGGGTGGGTCGGGATTTCTATATGGCTGTTGTGTTCATGTCAGTCTGACGGCTTGCTGTAATTCGAGCCTACAACTGATTAACGCGTGTCTCCGCCTGCGGCCACGGGCTGGCCTGTCACCGAAGCTTGTCCTGTCTGAAAGATTCTTGGGATTTGAACCCGCGCCCCCGCTCTTTCCTTAGGCCGGTGTGTACCAGAAGCCCGAGTGGCTGTCGGAGGGCTGTGCTGGGATTTGAACCCGCGACCCCGCTCTCTCTGTACAGGCCGGTGTGTACCAGAAGCCCGAGTGGCTGTCTGAGGGCTCCCTGCGCCTGCTGGACCAGATGCTGCAGGTGGAACCCAAACATCGGATCGTGGTTTCTGAGCTGCTGACCCATCCCTGGCTCACGGCTGGAACAGGGCTGCCCGTCGAGTGGAAGAGCTACTTCCAGGTGCGTACTGATCCGTTATCGAACGGGTAACGGACTCGTCACTGTGGGTAGTACCCCTCCACTGGTGGCTACTGACTACCAAGTACCAACACATTATGAGTGGATAGACATGTAGCTATCCGGTTACGGGTAGCTACTACCCTATTTTCAGGGTGTGAATATTGCCCAAGTGTGACATTCCCTTGGGTTATCGCTGAAAACCATCCCGTTGGGACGTGGAAAAGCGGCTTCCCTAGGTGTGTTTTGGTGTGCTCAGCTCTATTACATGGTGATGTGAGCCCCGCTTCAGATACGCTGTTTTCTAGTCGCCGGTGGTCGATGGAGTTCGAATGTTTCGAACTATTCTAAAACCCAAACAGTGTCATCAGAGATGCAGCTCGTCAGGTATTGATTATCCCCGAGGCTTTGTTATTAGAGCTTTGTGTACGAATTGACGCCTCTAACGCCGCCAACTGACCCCCCCCCCCCCCTCTCAGTCACGTCAGCCGGACGAGGACGTGGTGACGGCGATGGCGGTCTCCGGGGGCCGCAGCCGCGCCTGGATGGCGCGCCGTCTCTCCCAGTGGAGTTATGATCACACCACTGCCACCTACTGGCTGCTGCTGGCCGCCAAACGACGAGGGGAGCCCGTCAGACTGGCTGCGGCGCAGCAGGTCAGAGGGAGGGAGAGAGAGAGAGAGAGAGAGAGAGAGAGAGAGAGAGAGAGAGAGAGAGAGAGAGAGAGAGAGAGAGAGAGAGAGAGAGAGAGAGACTGACACAGGTGACGCAGCAGATGAGAGGAGAGAAGGAGATTGAGAGTGACGTGGGAAATAAAATAAAACGGCATTGCTGGCTATAAATCACGTCATTGGGAAGCCGTGATGGACTAGATGTCACACTCGCATTTTTGTATCCCTATTTCAACAGCCTTGTATCGCTATTTAGGTCCCGCTCGAACCTTGCTGTGACGCTCGATGCCGTTTTACGACACCGACTCGACTCTCACTCTACACCCGCTGTCTATACTACAGGCTGCAGGCTACAGGACACTACACAGGCTTTGTCTGCCAGTTCTGACCCCCTCCTTCTCCCCTCCAGATGCCTCCGCCTCCTCCGTCTGCCGCGGCCGGCCGCGCCACCCTCCAGGAGCTCACTTCCGCCGGTCTGCCCGGTCTGGTGCCGCTGGGGGACTCCCCGCACGGGCGGCCACAGTCGCTGGACACGGCGCTGGACGCGCTGGAGCAGCGCCGGGGCCTGGAGCTGGAGCTGGACCAGCGCCGCCGTCAGGAACAGGAGGAGGAGGAGGCCATGGAGACGCTCCTCAGCCTCAAACCCATCGGTGAGAGAGCGGGGGTGGAACCTTACCTCTGAGACCCATCGGTGAGATGGTCTGCGGGAGAGAGGGGGCGGGGGCAATCTAAAACCCATTGGTGAAACGATACGGTAGGGGCCCTCTGAGAGACCCATCGGGGAGCGGGGTGGGGACCTCTGAGACCCATCGGGGAGATGGGGAAGGTGAGGGGCTGAGGTCTGAGGTCTGAGGAGGAAGATATGAGGAAAGGAGGACTGGAAGTGATGGTCCTGTCCATGAGATTGTGGAGCGGTAGTCGGTTATTTGGTTCGCCTTCCGTAACTAAAACTATGTGACGAATGAGACGAAAGAAAATAGTCATGGTAGCTTCTTTACACCTAGCGTCATTATTTCATAAATGAATGCATCGAGTGGCTCGATTACAACAGGTTTTAAATCTACACCAACCAACCTAGACTGAGTTCGAATCGTCTCAGCCTCTCTGTAAGCCAGGGTATCAGATACCAGAGTAGAGATTCTCTGCCTTCCTTATCGTATCGCCGCCGCCTCTGACCGTTAGTTGTGTCATCTCTCCAGAGATGGAGCCACTGCTGGAGCGCAGCACCGGCCGCGGCTCCCAGCGTGGCCGGGGCAGTCAGCGGAGGAAACGAGCCACACCGCCCCGACCCTCGCCGACTGAGAACAAGGAGAACGACTTTCTGCAGCCCAAGGCGCCGTCACCCAGCAAAAAGACCAAGCGACGCGCCGGTGGTGAGGGGGCGCCGCTGGGGGGGGGGGGTGAAGTGGGAGGTTTGGTACTTTGGGGAGGGGATATTATGTTATGGATGCCCATAGCGTGAGCTGGCTCGTTTAGGCTGCGCTTGTGTAAAACTGATGTTCATTTAATTATCGATTCGCGGAATCGTACGGCACTGCTGGATAATATTTGTGCTGCCACCTGCCTCCTATTTGCTGACATTTCATCAAATGTTTTCGCCGTCTAGTGAGTTTTGTACGCTCGTTCTTACGTGTGTTTTGATGAGCTACCATTCCCTCATTGGACCTTTGCCTGTGGTGCCTCTATCTGAAACCCAGAGACGCAACTGACCACTATCTCGTCTCTCATCCCCTCACAGAGACGCCGTGTAAGCTGTCTCCGTCCCGGTCGGTGGAGTCAGCCCTCGACCCCGCCTTCAAGACGCCACAGAGGAGGTGGGTGGCCCTCGGACTGGGCGGGGGTCTGACACGTAGTCCGACATGGTACTGTCGTAGGCGCCGGGCGCACATCGGTGGCTCCGAGGATTATTTGCCGATATGGCGGTAATGAAACAGACGCCTGAAATATAATGGGACGATCGAGCATTTGGCATTGCTGTGTTCTTTACTCCCCTCTTCCGGTACCATCTTTTTCCGTTTTTCGTGTCATATTTTGTGACTCGTTTGCAACTGGAGTGTTCGTTAACTCTGATTACCGCCTATTTCACTTTTTTAAGGTCATTGTTTCAACTTCACATTTCTTCAGTTTTTTTTCTTAGGTATTCCGCTCGAAATTTGCCATGAAATGCATTGGTTTGCCCTCGACTATCACCCACATGTAGCTATATTGCACCGATATTTTTTACTTTTCTCCCTATCCGCCCCATCACTACCTACCTGACTACCCACCCCGTGGCCCCACTGACCCCCTGCCTCCCCCCCCCCCCCCTGGACAGGCCGCGCCCGCAGTCGGAGAATTTCCGCACACCAGATTGCGGCTCCAAGTCCTCCGCGGTGCCCCGGACGCCCATCTCGGGACGGAAGGTGTTCGGCTCCATCGAGAAGGGTCTGGACAAGATGAAGAACATGTTGACGCCTCGGAAACGCACCCAGGTGGCTGGCGACCGGCCGGCGCTCATCGATACCAAGGTGAGAACGGGGAGGGAGAGAGAGAGAGAGAGAGAGAGAGAGAGAGAGAGAGAGAGAGAGAGAGAGAGAGAGAGAGAGAGAGAGAGAGGGACGAGGGAGAGAGAGGGAAGAGAGAGAGAGAGAGAGAGAGAGAGAGAGAGAGAGAGAGAGAGAGAGAGAGAGAGAGAGAGGGACGAGGGAGAGAGAGGGAAGAGAGAGAGAGAGAGAGAGAGAGAGAGAGAGAGAGAGAGAGAGAGGGGGGGGGGTAGCGTGGGAGTAACATACAGACAGGCAGACGGAAGAGACATGATACTCAGTTACTTATAAGTATGATTGATTTGTTAGACCAGTGATACGTTGACGAATGACGATAGAACGGTTTCCGGTTTTACGTGAGGAACCGGTGAATGGAAGGAACACCGTACTTTTCGGCTTGAAGTCGAAAAGAACAGTGCTGCTTCCAATCATTCTTTGATTTGACGCGAGGTTTTACGATTTTGACGCTTCTCTGCATTGCTCTACGTCACAATCCAGTCGATAATAATGGGATGGTAATTTACAGAGGATTTCTAGAAATTACTTGTCCGTTGTCCTTGAATGTTCACGTCCAGTTCTTCTGTGCCTCCACGGGCAGAAATTTACCGATACATCCCCAGAACATCGTCAATGTTTTTGTCAGCTGACCCACCAAAGTCGATCGCGTTTTCATTCTGTATATCATTATTCGGTTCGTTCTTCTCCGATGTCGGCTCTTGTGTATTGTCACACACGGTCAACTCGGCAGTATTTTATTCAAAGACACGCTGGCGTTTGGTGGACCTAAATAATACATCGAACTAGCGACAGTCTACTGGTAAAACATGTGACATTGCCAGCTCTAATTATCAAAAAGCATTTGTGTGGTACCACAAACGAAAAGCGACCAAAATATATAACAATTATGACTTCACAAAGGCCCAAAATGATATTCACAGTCACTCGCTGGAACGATTCTGGCACTTCCCGCGCGCAGAAGCTCTACACTCAACCCTCCCCCGCGCCCTCCCTCGTTGATACGGCAGCCTAAAAACAAACTCCAGTACACGGTCACCGGAAATTGCCCGGCCCGTCGTCCGTCGCCGCCGCCGCGGAGTCTTTGTACATCTGTGGCGCGGACAATTCGTCACATTGTTGGTCCGGTCACGCGCGGCTCGCCATCCGCGTCTGCAGGGCCCTCAGATCCGTCCTCCGCCGGGGCGGCCACTCGGCCGTCCGGCCCGCTGTTTATGCTGGCGCTGTGACAGCCGATTGGCCGGCGCTGGTAGCGAGTTTCTCCCTCACTGGGTGTTTCGTCGTCCCGCCCGCCGCCGCCGGTTCTCACTGGCGACCGCGCAGCCGCTTCTTGGGCGGCACGCGCGACTCGGCGTCGTCTCTGGCGCGCCGTCCGCGTCCGGTGACGCGCCGCGCGCCCGCCTCTCCATCCTCGCTCTCACTGTCGCTGGCCTCGGCCAGACTGACGTTGGTCGCCGCCGCGCGCCGGCCCGTCGCCCGCGCCGGCGGCGTCTTGACCGCGGCGGCGGCGCGCGCGCGCCGGGCCGGCGTCTTGGCCTCCGCGTCCTCCCACTCCTCGTCCGACCCGCCGGACGTCCCGTTCTCAGCCGTCTCGGCGGCCGGCGGCGCCTTGGGAGGCCGGCCGCGGCCGGGGGTCTTCTTGACCGGCGGGGGCTCCTCCTCGCTGCTGTCGCCGCCACTATCCGCGGCGGCGGTGGCCTTCCGACCGCGGCCGGTTTTCCTCGCGGAGGGGATGTCCTCTTCCTCCTCTAGGATGCGGTCGGCCAGGCTCTTACGGCTGGCGGCGGGGCGGCCGCGGCGGCGCGGCGTCTCAGCCTGCGGCGTCTCAGCCTCTGGCTCGTCCTCCTCAGAATCCGCGGCCTTCCTCTTCGGCGGCTGCTTCTTCGGCCTACCCCTGCCCCGCTGGGTTTTCTTAGACTGGCTCCGTTCTTCCTCAGATTCATCAGAGTGCGCCTCCTCGTCGTTTTGCGCAGCAGCCTGTCTCGGCCGGCCGCGTCCCCGCGGGTTTTTCTGAGGCTCCTCGTCGTCCTGTTCCTCGTCCTCAGAAGGCGCCGCCGCGGCCGCCTTCCTGGGTCTCCCGCGGCCCGGCCTTCCCCGTTTGGTCTGCTGAGCCTCCTCCTCGCCATCGTCGTGACCGTTCTGAACGACTTCCTTCTTCTTCTTCGGTCGGCCGCGCCCCCTCTTCTTTGCCGGCGCCTCCTCCCCCGACCCCTCCCCCTCCGACTCCGACTCGGACTGCCCTTCGGAGTCGCGATCGGCGTAGTTGACCATCTTGGTGCGCCGGTTAGACTCCCTGCTTGGCTGAGTGCCCGTGCCCACGTAAAACGGCGCGCGCTTCTTCTTTTTGGCGCGCCCCCGGGCGGCTGGCGGCGGCGCCTCCTCACTGCGCAGACGGCTCACCACCTTGGCGACGAACGCGTGCGCGGGCCGCTTCTTGCGCGGCCGGTACTCGTCGGCGGCAGCCTCGACGTTGATGACGTCATCTCTGTAATCGACGCGCGCCGTGCGGCCCGAGCGTCGGCCGCCATCGCCCGGGGTGTCGGACGGCTGTGCGCGGTGCACCCGCTGGATGTGCGCGCGCAGCGGGGCGTTGCCGAAGAACCCCTTCCCGCAGAAGTCGCACTCGTGTGTGCGCTCCTTGTGCGTGATCTGGTGGCGCGTGAGGAACGTTTCCTTGGAGAAGGCGCGGTCGCACTCGTCGCACGCGTACAGCAGCACGCCGTCGCTGTGGTCGCGGTCCACGTGCGCAATCAGCTGCAGCTTGAACGCGAACGCCTTGTCGCACTGGCCGCAGCCGTAAGGCCGTTCGCCCGTGTGAAGTCGCTGGTGGAGGCGCAGCATGCCGGCCGAGGCGCACTTTTTGTCACACTTGGGGCACGTGAACTCGCCTCTGTGCACGGCCTTGTGCTTCAGCATGAAGCCCTTGGTGACGAAGCGCCGGTTACATTCGTCACACTTGATCCGCTTGACAGCGCGCCGCTTCTTGCGCTTCTTCCGGCTGTCTCCATAGTCCGAGTCGTTGTCCTCTGCGGAAGGAACAGAAACGTCACAAATACAGTCATTGACAGACGTCCTCCGCACGGGCATATCCAGTGGAGTGTTTAAGGCACTTGCCACTTCCGCTGTGTCCGAAATTGACGCAACTTTGTCGTTTTCTCTGCATAAAAAAACGATTGAACTTATGAAGGAAAAGATACACTTCTTTAAATTCCACAGCAAGACCACGGATCACCTAACGGATCGGCAACTCTCCCCGCTTCCCATTGTTATCGGTGTACCCGCAGAGCGGGCTGCCATCTAGCGGCGCGGATATCTTCACTAAGGAGGGGAGCCGGCCGCCCGCCGCAACCAGTGTTAAAAGGCACGGGGAAACGGGTGTGAACGCAACACCCGTCCGTCGTTTTCATCCTCAGGATGTTCAGATCAAGTTCAAATCCTTCTCCTCCACGCAGCAGCTCTCGATCCGGGCTGGACAGGCAACTTTATCTCATGCGGGCTGCTCCCTTGAAGCGCACCACTGCTCCCAAGGGAGCACACCCGTAGCCGGGTGCAGAGAGTGCTTGGGGGGCTGGTCGGCCTGTCCATTCGGACGGGCTCAGCCCCGGTGACTCTCTAGGGTGCCTGTCCAGACCAACGTTTCTCCCAATTCCTATAATCCTTCCGGCTCTGCAATGGTCTCTTAACCCGCGCCGGGCCGGGGGTTGTTTGAACACCCCCCCCCCTGCGTTTTTTCGCAGATATCTCAAAAACATACCTGTTTCATGTTTTTGGCATACCTGTTCGTGCATCTTTTCCGCACATGTTGTGAAAATTTCAGACCCAGGTCGCCTTAGGTCAGGTCACCAGGTCACGCCAAGTGACCTTACCTCAGAAAAAAATAAGAATGCTCGTCATAGCTACACCGAATGATCGATTGCCTTGAAACTTTCAGCGATTGATAAGAGCAGCATTATCTATAAAATGTATATCTCGGAATTTTGATATCGGTGACCTAAGGTCAGGTCAATTGTGCGTTCTCTCCATTATATGAAAGTCAATGGGAGAAAATTGAAAAGCGTCTGTTTTGCACGAACGCTATTCTAGACACTCTCAAAAATCGAAATGTAGGTAAAATTGACACACTGAACCGGAAAATGGCAACTGTGACCCCTCGTTACGTCCCCGAGGTCATCTCAAGTCACGAACAGAATCTAACAGTTTTTCGCTAATAACTTCTGATAGAGGCGTGCTAGAGCGCTGAAAACGCCTCAGATGTGTTCGGCTCGACGTTGCGGATCGACTGATATGCAACATGACCTTTTCCGGTCAGGTCATGACCTTGACCTGAGGTTAAGTTTTCAAGTTGACCTTTCAAGGTCAAATTATAGCTCACTCGAAGCGTCTTGACGAGAGGAACACGATGCTGGCAAAAGTAATGTCATGGCTCTTTTGAGTCAAAAGTTATTACCAAAAAAAAACGTTTTTCCTAAACACGGCTATTTTTTAGTTTTTGCCCTCTGGAGGCTAAACGGTTGACCTGAGGTCAAATCGAAGAATACAACTCGGTAAGACCTGTAAAAGAGCTATCGAATGCACTTTTCCGCGGCGCTGTAGTTCTGTTGGTTCCCAAGTTATGCGTCGGGTGTTTCGAAAATTGTTGAAATAGACAAAATTTGCCTTTAATGACCTATGGTGACTTGACCTTTGACCTGACCTAAAAAATGACCATGTATATCCGCCATTATTTCTTACGCCCTTTGGAATGCCGCTTACCCCGTGTGGCTACGTGGCCCAGAAGCCGAGTTAGGGGGAGGGGGCGGGGGTTTCACACACCCTCGGCCCGGCGCGGTTGGTACCGTGTACCGGCCCGGCGTGGGTTTATACTTTATGCAAGAATATTTGTGAAAGTTACAGGTTTAATTTAATCGGCAGATGAATATTCATCAAAACTATACTCATGAAATATATGTAAGAGATGACAACGATCGGAAAATTACCAATTTCTCGATGGACGTTAGGTCGCCCACGTGGGTATGAAAACAACGATTTTCATGACGAAGTATACAATCTCAAATACTTAACCTGTGTCTAACGATTCTTGCCATTCTCATTTATACCATAGATATCTTCTGAGCTAGCTGAGAAACCATGTTCCGCAGAAAAATCACTTAATTAGCTCCGACACGACGCCCTCAACACGCACGAGGCCGGCCGCGTCCTTAGTGAAGATAGTTCACCTAAATGCCCACCAGGTGGCAGGGGAGACAGGTTGCGGGGGGGGAGTTGCCGATCCGTTATGTGATCCGTGGCAAGACATAAGGAAGCGATGTGGCATTCAGCATACAGCATATAACTGTGAAAACCCATTACCCATTAACCCAAAACACATTACCCAAAACCCATTACCTACCCGGGCTCTCGATGGAGTGCAAGTCGAGGCCTCGAATGTGCACATACTCGACACATACTCATACTCGACTTGCACAGTCAAGGGGAACATTTATAGCACTTGCCACTCCCGCAGTGTCCGAAAATGACGCAACTATGTCGTTCTCTCCGGGTAAGATAATGCCCTTTAATCCCACAGCAAGGCATAGGGAAGCAATATGGCAGGGAAGGGAGCAACAGGGAAACAATGAGGAAGCAATACCTTTATACAACCAGTGCTCTTCAAAGTTGTATGAATGGGCGCCTCATTATTACCCAGCCGTGTGTGAACACGGCAGGGTAGCCGTGAAAACCTCAGTACCCACCGGGGCTCTCGATGGAGTAGTCGGAGAAGTCGTCCCCGCTCATATAGTCCCGCGCCAGGTACGTCGGTCCGCCGTTCAGCTCCAGACGCTTCAGCACGATCTGGGCGGCTGGAGGAGGGGGGGGGGGGTCACTCAAACTCAATGCTGAATGAGGTTTGTTATTGAATACACCCTGGCGCACATCACTGATTGTTGTCACCGTTTGGGACATTGTTTTAGCTGTTTGGGCTATGGGTTTTCCCAACTAGAGGTTTAAAAAGTTGATCACAACTCTGTGAATTAGGTAATGAAACAGAGGTTTAAAAATCTGCTGATCACATTTCTGAGTGTTAATTGTCATCAATACAGGGATTTGCATAAAGCACAGGTCTACCACTATTCTTCTCCATACTTTGCCACGCGCCACCAATCCTCGTCTCTCAGCCGTTTCATACATGCTGGGTCCTTTTCGTCGTCCATCTCGTCGTCGGAGTCGTCCTGCAGGGGCGAGTTGTTGCTGCCCTCCGTGTCAGCATTGTAGCCATCCGTCTGAAGCGCCATCTGTACACAGATCAGGCAAACTGAGTACCCCGAATATACTGACCAGCTGTTCAGCTTTTTAGCCTAGTTGTTACCGTTATCATCCTGGCCAAAAGCAGATAGCAGGAAAAGAAAATAACTTGTGAGGTTGCAGTGTAGGTAGCAAAGTTTATCACATAGGTACCTAGTTGTAAAATGTAACATTTATGTAAAGTATGTGACATGTGTCATTGATTTCCTAAGCTTCACTGTCAGTAACGGCGGAACACCTTCAATTAAGGGGGCAATGCCGACTTTTGGTCCCATTCTTTCCATGAACGCCCATAGGGCTAATGTTAAAATGCCAAAATCAAAGGGGGGCACGGTGCCCCGCTGCCCTCCCCGTTCCGCCGCCTATGTTCACTGTCAGGAAAGTGTTATCAAGTTTTATTCATTTTTATTTGAACAGGTATTCATGATCAAATTATGGCATGTTGATGTTTGGCTCAACAACATAAAGTAATAATACCTAACTGATATAATCTGGTAGTCAATTTATTTAATTTCACTTGCTTTTTAAGAATGTACCACTACCAGCGCTTGCACTTCGCGGTTCCAGTTCGCAGAGCCATCGACAAGACAAACATTTATTTTAGCAAGAGCCATGAAGACATACCATACACTTCACTGCTGTTAGAACTTACTGTGCGGAGTCAGTTTGGTGAACAATTGATCAGCTAAAATCCCAACAATTTCCTAAAGCAATAAAACTTTCTCCCCAGTTTTCAACCCTCTCAACCATTCGCATTTTATTCACAAGTTTTGTTTATTTTGAAATGTAACACGTGCGCCACAAATGTGCACAGTCTGAAGTTACTAAAATGTGCATTCAACCAGCCTTTTGAGGTCTCCAGAGTGCAAGGAAATGGGCTTTCTTTGTCTATTGAATGTTTCGGAACTCTATTTAAATGTTTTACAGCTTATAGTAGCTTTTTTGGAGGTAATTTAGTTGACCCACAAGATGGCCGCTGGATTATCGCCGGCGTCTGCTGCCATATAGCTGCCAGATGAAGCTATTTGAGTAGAGAGAGAAAAAAGCTTTACTACCATTTGTGTAAAGCTACCTTTTTGTTCGTAATCGTCGAAACCCTCTATATTTCTAATCATCCCAAACAGGAAGACGGCGATGGCAGGTACCTTCGGGAAAAAGACATCAAAAAAGTTCTGTTAATCTGAAAAGAAAAGTGCCACGGTTGCCGTTCCAGCGAGTCGCATTTTGTCTCCGGCCGTCGGCTATTTGACCCGTGCCGCTGACCAACCCCCCCCCCCACCAAGGCCTGCCTGACCGCCTGTCCGTGGTGCCGCAGAAAATGCTAAACGTGTCGGCGACGGGAGCCACGGACCCTGACCAGGTGCTGATCGACCTTCAGCGCGAGCTCTGGAGTCGCGGCATCGTGCTCAAACAGAAAGGGTGAGTGGCTGTCAAAGGAGGGTTGGCAGTGCTGGACGTGCAATAAGTAAGAATCTAACTGTGTCGAAAATATTCGCCCCGCACCTGCTCACAATAATGATCCACCAAGCTACGGCGATCAGACTTGCCGATTTACGGGGGCTTGAAACACAAGCGCCTCTATAGCCAGCGTTTCATAGCTTTAGTTACACTAGCGCGCCACCAGGTGGCAGTAAGTGCACCGCAAGGCTGATGTTTACTGCCACCTGGTGGCGAGATACCGTAACTACAACTATGAAATGGCTGATGTAGAGGCGCTAGTGTTTCGAGCCCCGTAAATCGGCGAGTCTGGTGAAATCTGATGTTTGCTTTTTCGGTGATCAAATCAATACCGTCTTATCAATAGCGGTATTATACTCTGGCGAACCTAAGAAAGTATGAAGCTAAAGCTCCTTGAATCATTTTGTTACGTATTTTGATCACTGGACGTGCATGGTTCAAACTTCGAAGAAAATTCGTGTAAAAAGTCGTGAGGGAAATATTCTTCAATATATTTTCCAACATCAAAACGTGCATCAATGGTGGTTGCGCTTTGAATCCGGTCTTCCTTAGGTTTACCAGCCTATCATTCTACATCACTGTCGAGTCAATCCGCTTTGTTATGCAATTGATTGATGTTTCTTTCCTCTGGCTGATCCGAGCCCGAAAGGTCGCGTGCCATTCCGCAAAGGATTTTCCGTATCATGTCTATGATGAAAATGTCAAATATGGTTGGGAAAATTGGTTGATTGTGCATGGCACCTCAACCAAAAATGTTGTTCTGTTTTTCGCATTTCATATTTTGTTATTTTCTACATAATTGTAAAAAAAAGTGCAATAAATGATGAATTAAAGAAATTCAAAGAAAATCAAGAAAATTATGTTAATTTTCCCCTCTGAGCGGTACCTTCTCCCCGTCCGTTGCCGCCTGATGCTGATTTCTCCCTCCCCCCTCTCCTCCATCCAAGACGGACTTCTTGCTCTCACCACTTATTGTCCCATCCACTACCTAACGCTAATATATACATAATATTTACCTCTGTCTTACCTCTGGGCTCTGACTGCCTCTCTGTCCCCTTACTCCGCCCCCATCGACACTGGTACTGTATTGTATTGTATTGACATCAAAAGCCTTCTACATATAGCATGGCGATTGCGGCTTGACCTGATCCATTCTCTGACATTCACTGACCCTTCTCCGTCCCTTCAGGTACACACTGCGGGGAAAGGTGGCTGACCCGCTGGGAAAGGCCAAAATGTCCTTCGAGCTGGAGGTCTGCATGATCCAGAGCCTCAATGTGGTTGGTACGTATCGCGGGGAGGGGGGGAGGAGGGGGTTCCCGTCAGGTGTTCGTCAGCTGATAGAAAGGTAGAGGGTTAGTTTAGTTGAGTAATTGGTTTTGGATCGTGTTTTATAGAAATGAGTGTGGGGATGTGAAGATATGCGGTGATATAGGCCAGGGTGTGTCTAGTTTGCGACATCGATTCAGATTTCAGTGTGCCCACATTTTCGAGTGTTTTACCCCTCCCTAAGTGAGCGCATGGTAACGTATTCCCCTCTCACTGTAAGCTGCCCCCCCCCCCCCCCCCCCCCCACCCCCGTCAGGTATCCGCCGTAAGCGTCTAGAAGGGGACGCCTGGTGCTACAAGAGGATATGTGAGCAGGTTCTCCGCCTGGCCGGACAGCAGACGGCCGTCTAGCCAATCAGAGCACAGCAGACGGACGTCGGCACCAATCAGATGTCAGGCTGGCCTCTGGTGACCAATCAGCGCCTATCCAGGCCCGGTGGGGGCCAATCACAGTCGAAAGACACTGTCAGTGACCAATGGTGGGCCGTGTGCTGTCTGCGCCGGCCAATCACAGTCGAGATGACGTCACGGCCGGCCAATGAGAGCGGAGAACGTGTTTCACAGTCAATCACGTGCGTGTTTTTGTCAGGGACCTCGCTGTGCGCGCGTGCTTAGTGCTAAGGCTGCCCCGGGCCGGGGCAGACGAGGACCATGTAACGTCGTGTGCTGAATTTGAGTCTGCCTGGTCATGACTATGATATTGTTCTTCCAAGCGTACTCAATGTGGGTTCATTTTCATTTATCAGCCCATCGTCGATTTTATAGTAATTCACCATTTCTTGTCCTTTCTGTCTCACGTTAATTACTCAACACGCCTTAGTCCTGGTGTAAGCTTCCGTCCTTTTTGCTAGATTATTGGCACACTAAGGTCTTGCCTGTCTTGCCCTGCTTTCCGTGTTTAACCTCATATGATAATGGAGAGATGTGCGGTGTCAATATGTTGGTCTACTAGACTGCCCTGCTGTTTCGTTGAGGGATGTGGCAGTGATGCTTTTTCTAGCTCAACAGAAATGGCCGAAGGAGAAATTGGCAATCCAGGATCAAAATGTCTCGAAACAATGTCACGTGCAGTCTTTTGTCGTGTCACTCGCATAGTTTTGTGCCGCTGACGTCGCTATGAGTTCTCTGGAGCTTTTTCGCGAGCCCTCGCATGAATATTGCTCAGCACGTGATTTTGTGAGTGAGAATACCTCCTAACTTGTACATAGACCTAGTGTGAATGAGTGTTTTACGCGAGTGTTTTATATGGCGTGTGACATGTACATTGTACAGGCACTGGGTAGATACTGGGCTAGAGGATGCGCTATTCTAGATATAGCTTTCTTCCCTCACTGTCTTAGGTGAAATAAACACTCCATTGGATGCGTCCGTTTATTTGTTTTCGAATAGGGAAACAAGTGTGAATCGTTGGCACGACGGCTGCTGACGTTATTTGACCATGGGTGGTTAACTTGCTCGCAGCGTTTTGGTTGAAGTAACGTGGTGCAGAGTTGACCGTTTCGATGGTGTTTTCAATGGCTGCAGGCGTCTACCTAGGGCGCTACCTTGTCCGATGCATTAGGCTTGCTCGCTGACACATGATTTTATTCCTCTGATTCAGTGTGCTTTGTGTGGCCAACCTCAGCTTACTCTATCGCACGCCTTGTAAAGTAGTAGTGCAGCGCTTTACCACTAGGTGGCAGCACATGCACCGTTTGCGACGAGCGACTTCGATCAACACCAACAGTCCGCTATTCACCTAACACCTAACGCGTCACCTAACACAACATTGTTCGTTTGTAGTCATGATCACATCCGCGGGCAGTATCGATGATGAGTTTTGTTTGTTCAGACGAGACGAGACGAATTTTGTTCAGCTACCTACACTAGTCAATCACATGAGGGCACTGAAGGACAGATTACGCCCCGACCCGCCAAACGTCAGAGTGACGGCTCTGCTGGTCGCCGTCAGACACATCAGATAGTGGTAGAAAGCAGCACTCCTACAACAGCAGAAGACACTCTGGAGTGTCCGCACTGAGTGTCTGAGTGGCCTGTCTCTGCGGGGCACTCCCGCTCCACCAGGATAGTCTGTCGGTGGTCCCAGAAGGGCTTACAGCGCGTGCACCTGTCAGTGGTCGACTCGGTCCAATGTCCACCGGCGGATCCGGAGGGGAGGATCTGGGGCATAAATGCCCCCATCCCGCGGCGCCCGAAATCGGGGAACATTTGCGGTTTTTCGAGAATAAAACAAAAACCAAACAGCTTTTACCAGGAAGTTTGTTTGGCACTCCACAGTTCTGCGTGATAAACCAAAATCCAATAAGTCTTTAGAATTTAGAGAAACATTTTCGTGATATGCCTCCCCCGCAGCGTCCAAGACTGCCTTCCTGGATCCGCCAGTGGAGAACCCCAATGTTCCCCTTATTCCCCGCATTCCTGTCTCTAATGGTGTGCGAACAGACCGAGAAGATGTAGCCCCTCCCCCCCCCCCACACACACACACACAACGAACAAAACATAACAGATTAGGTAGCTGCAGATTATTATTGCTCGACAGAAAATAAAAACGCTTAAATACACAAGTGCGCTGGTCAGATCGTTGTTGATGACCAAAAGATATTACCTTTTTTGTGCGACGCACGTGAGTGGGGGACAGGGACGTAGCCAAGGGGGAGGGGCCGAAGGCCACGACGGGGGCCAGTATGCTCTTCCCCCCCGAAAAGTGAAATAAAGCTAAATAAGAAATAAAAATAAATAAAAACAGCTGCACCACACCCCAAAAACTAGTGGGCCAAATCCGAGGAGTTTTCCTTTTTGGAGGGGGTACGACACTGGGCCGCGACCTCAGGGGCGGATCCAGGCATTTTCGGGAGGGGGGCGGCAAGTCAAAATAGGGGCGACCTGGCAATTCGGGGGCGCTTCATACGAAGGGGCGCCAAACCGTCGTCAAACCCGCGCCGTGCTGGGGGACGTTGTCATGCTCCCTCTCAGTTTTTTTGCAAATATCTGAAAAACAGCTGTGCGCAGCGCTGCCGTTTTTAGCACACCTTATCATGCATCTTTTCTGCACATGTTGTAAAAATGTCAGGCCCGGGTCATGCAACGGCAGGTCACGAGGTCATGCCAAGTGACATAACCCCAAAAAGTTAAAATGCTCACCATTGCTATACCGACTGAACGGTCGCTTTGAAACTGTCAGCGATTGATGAAAGCATCAATATTCATGAAATGTATATCTCGGAATTTTGATATTTGTGAGCTAAGGTCAGGTCAGTTTTACGACATCTCCAATCTCCATTAGGTTAGGTATATACCTTAGTTTATGAGAGACAACTGAAAGGCATCTCTTTTGAACGAGCGCCATTCTAGACAATCGCAAGCATTAGGATGCATGTAAAATTAACACACTGAATAAGGAAATTGCACCTGTGACCATTCATTATGTCCCACAGTTCATCCCAGGTCATGAAAGGTCCACAACAGTTTTTTGAAAATAACTTTTGATAGATACATGCTAGAACGATAAAAAACACCTCAGTTGTGCTCAACTTGACGATACGGATCGACTGATATGCAACATGACATTTCCCAGTGATGTCATGACCTTGACCTGAGGTCAAATTCCCAAAATTACCTTTCAAGATCATCCTATAGTGCATTCGACGCGTCTCGACGACAGAAACGCAATGCTGGCAAACGTTATGTCGAGACTCTCTTGAGTCAAAAGCTATTGCAGGAGAACATTGTTCGTAAAACTGCTATTTTTAGAGTTTTGCCCTCTGGAGGCTAAACCGTTGACCAGAGGTCAATTATGAGGGCAGTTTACGGAAACACCATTGAAAGGGCTATTAAATGCGCTTTACCGCGGCACTATAGCTCTATTGGTTTCCGAGCTAGGTAGGTATGTGCCGGTGTTCCGAAAAATGTTGAAATAGACAACATTTTACCTTTGATGACCTTTGGTGACCTGACCTTATTTGACCTAACCTAGAAAACCGCTTACCGCGTGTCGCTACGCGACCTAGGAGCCGAGTTAGACGAGGGGGCGTGACACCCCCCCCCCCCCAGCACGACGCGGAATTCGGAAAACTCAGACCACCAGCACGGCGCGGGTTAAAAGTCGTAGATGGGCGCGTAGAACCCCCTCATGCTTCCTTGTAACCCGCTCCGCTGCCCCATGTTATGAACTATAAGTTGGGGCTTATCATCAAAAGAAAAAAATTGGCGCAATTATAGCAGCGAGGTGGCGCCATCTTGTATTTAGTTTATGCAAGGCAGCGAAAGCCTTCCTTTTGTCTTGTGATTTAAAGTGTTTGTATTGTTTGTGGAGACGGCTGCGAGTGTTTGAAAATTCGCGCTGTGTTTGGTGAAAGTGCTGTGATAGTGTGAAGTGGTTTTCGAGCTGCGGAAGCTCGTATTTTGGTCGAGTGAAATTGGCCTGGGCCGACTCGGACGCCATCTTCTTCAGGAGATCGTAGTCGGCTTGGCTCCAGTGTCAATATGCCGTCAAGGAACCACAGCCAGCTTTTCCTAATGCATTCTGAGAAGGGGTAAGTGTTTAAAATCCACCTGATTCTACTCTTTAGTATCGTCTTCAGTGGATATTAGTGGTGTCAATCGGAACTTGGATCTTCGGAATTCCGATTTTGTCCAATGTCCAATTCGGAATTCGGTTGGACAATGACAGCAGGCTTTGGACAACTTTGGACAATCGCTTGCTACACCTCAACATTTTTATAAAGAAATCGTGTTTAACATTGATTGGCGCTTTCGATATGATTACCACTTTTGAGCTGGTAACGATACATTAAAAGCAAATTAAATAACGGTGTTGAGTGTAAACTATTGCGTAGATGTCGGACATCTTTGGACAAATGGCTGGCTTGGACATTTTTGGACGAACGGTCGACGTAAGTATTGGACATTGGATAGACATTGGACATATGTTTTCTGAAATTGACATCACTAGTGGCTTATGCTTGAATTCTTTCCACTGGCGGATCCTCGAGCCAGCAATGGCGCGTGCCATTTCGCCAGGATTTTCCGCATCACGTCTATGATGGAAAAATGATAAGGAAAAATGATTGATCGTGCATGGCACCTCCCCCAAAAAGTACTGGATAATATTTCTTTTGTTTCTTTCTTGTGATACCTATAGTTGGTCATAGGTGGGCAGGTAGGTATTTTTACAATTGTTGATTTCCTTCATCTTGATCTTGGTCTGCGTTCTCTGTATTGATGTTCATGGCTGTAAATAAGTGCGAGCACCAATTTGACTGAATGGTACGGCCATCTGACGAAACAGATGTCACTGTTCATTTGGGAATTTCGGCAGTCGTATGGCATATTCAGAAGGTGACAGATGTTCTGCCGCTCTACCCACTTGCCGGATTTCGAGAACAAAACCAGTTAGAACCGGATAATGCCGCATTTCTCAGCTGGCACTTCTCGATCGGGCATTCAAGCGCGCCATGGAAATCTCGCTAGCGGGTAGTACTAGTGTCAGCGCAGTGCAGTGGCTGGCATTTATATATCGCTGTAAACCGTAACGTTCATTCGGTGATCTCCAATGATCATAAGTTCCGGAGATATGGATAAGATCATCATAGGCTGTGCTGGGACGGACGTATGGACTGCCGCTGTACCTACTCCCAACGCCTGGTGTCTGCCCGCCCCTCTCTCTCCCCTCTCTCTCTCTCTCTCTCTCTCTCTCTCTCTCTCTCTCTCTCTTTTCCAGTCGCTCATTCCCTCCCTAATTTCCTTTCTTCCTTCCTCCCACTTTCTTCTGTCTCTCTCCCTCCCTCCTTCCCTCCCTCTCTCCTGCTCTCTTCTATCTCCGAGCCTCCTTCCAACCCCCCTCTCTCTTTCTCTCTCCCGTCCACTTCCTCGGCCCTCTGCCTCTGACTCGGTCGGCGTTTTCAATGTTTTTCCCCATGTTGACGATAAAACATAATTATTTATTGATGTACATTTCCACTCTAAATAGGATTGCTACCTAGCATTCTAACTAATAGTTTTTATACTGGGAAGTCGGAGTTGTTGTGTTAACTTCAACTGTTTTACGACGTGCTCTTGTTGCTCATTGGCCCAGCTGGGTAGGCGTCATTCGACACGCGCTCTGTTTATGACCGGTATCCTCCGGAACTGAGCAGTGGCTTCGGATATAAAAAACCGACAAAACCACCCGCGGGCTGGCCGCAGACAGGCCATTGGATTTCCCAAACTTAATTACATCTACAAACTACACATCTACCTGCCGTTATTCTTGATAGTTTGTGAGGAAACTCGAATAATGACATTTTGCGTGTTGGTGCCTACTGCCAAAGCATAATTTATGTGTAGCTTCTCTTATCCAGCCACTCTTAGAAATTTAAAGCAAAAAATATAAT